CGCCCGAGGAGTTTGGCGACTTCGCGGCGAAACTGATCAGCTAGGTCATGGTCGGCTTTGATGCCTATCGCGTCTAGATCGGGGACAGCGTGGCTCATTGTGAAGGATCGAAGGTTCGGAGGGGCTAGGTTTATAGTATAAGAAGCTCAAGAATGAGTCTGGAAGTCTCCGACTTCTCTCAAGAGTTGAGAGGGGGGTAGAGCTCCGATCAATAAGACTCGGAAAGCTTGATGGTGGAGTGATAGCAAATGCGAAGGGCGCTCGCCCGCAATCGCGACAATATAAACCAGACGCTTTTCAGCTGCAGGTGGCTTTGAAGAGAATGAATAAAGAGGATCACCCAAGGGTCATACTAATATGGCTCGCTTTGCTCATGCTGCCAGGTTTCAAAGACAATGCATGATCGGCGAACGGAACGAGCTGAAAGATTCTGATGCCTCAGGCATGGATCACGTAATCTGAATAGCTTCACTGCCTGGGCTATAGAGCTAGGTGATCCTGCGAAGCGCATTCATTGGAGTGTCCTACACGACTACAGATGGTATATATGCTTACAGGTATATCAAACAGAACTCAATAAGGTAGAAAGTATTCAATTGCAACCACTTTCGAAACTTCAAATGTACATATCACGCCAGCCGGGGTATCATATCGTCACCTTTCAAAGCAGACAGAACCAGCCTGTACCCATGGCCTATCCAGGGAAATCGAAGAACGAAAAAGATGCGAAGAAATCGAAGAAGAATGGTGCGATGGTCAATAGTCCTCCTGCACCGATGAACGCCAGCATCCAGTATCCAGTACAGGCAGTAAAAGCTCAAACCCAACCGCAAACGAAAAGAGTCGTCATAAATCATCGCATGATATGCGGAGTCGACTGACATTGCCAATCAAGAGCCAGCAGTGACCGGAGTTGTGCGGTTACCTGGAACAGCGGATCTCTTGCCTAGATCCATTCCACCAGCGGAGACATCAGCCTCTCCATTGGCGTCAACAGACGAGCTTGAGTCCAAATCGGCTGCGACAGTCGAGAAAAGAATGCCACCGAAAAGGGGTTGGCTATCGTCGTTGGAGAAAAGTCCACCGCCGTTCCGAACTCCCATGGCATGCGACATCTGCTCCTTGATACGGACGTATCGGTACTTCGACTTGGTGGTGATGATGGGGTGGCGAACAAGAGGCTGGGGCGCAGAACGGGCAATGGCGGCCATGACGGCGTCTCTTTCTTCGTCTGAATCAATAGGACCGGTGTTCTCGATATCTTCCTGCAAAGGAGCGTTGGCATCGATAGCAGCCTCTGTAGTTGGAACGGGTTAGTCATCTCGTGATCTATAGTGAGCACGAACAAAATAATAGTAGACTTACTCTGCTGGCGAGCCTGGTTCTTCTTCTGATACTGCTGGAGAAGCATATCATACGGCAGTGTCCGGCCAGGAACCGAGCGCTTGGCACCCATTGAATGGCTCTTGCAGGTCAAGGAACGAGCGCACTGCGCGCCGTTGGGAAGAGTAACACCACACTGTTTCTCGACATCGACAGGGCCCTTCGGCTTGGCGGTCTTTTGCTTGAGCTCGTCCTTCTTCTTCTTTTTCTTTGACTCCTTGCCATCGTCCTCATCGGCCTTGCGCTTCTTGCCCTTCTTGTTGCCGTCCTCAGTGCCCTTGGTAGCGCTCTTCTTGGCACTCTTCTGGCCCATGTTGGGATTGTCTCCGTCGGCTTTGTCGGGCCCGTCATCGTCTCTATCGTCGCCGGCCTTCAGGCGATTGGCCGCGTCGCGGGCTTCCTTCTTCTTGCGCGCCTTCTCCTGCTTGGCCTTCAAGCAGCCGCGGACATGATCCGCTGCAGTTTGCTTGAGAGTGGGCCGCTTGCAATGCTTGCAGATTACAGTTTCGAGGAGGTCATCTTCGCGCGGCTTGCCGGTCGGGAACACGGCGACGACTTTGCTGTCGAGGATGGGGAGGGGAGAGGCGGTAGGTGAGGTATCGATGGGACCATCTTTGGCCTCTATGTGTTTGTTAGTATCATCAATGCCCGTGGAAACATGTCTGGGGAGCTGTACCATCTGCCTTCTTCTTGGTGGACGCTTTGGACGTCTTCTTAACCTTGATCTTGCCGGGTTTGGTATCCTTGTCCGTGAAGCTGTACCCGGACGCATCAACCAGACTTCCCCGTCCTGTCAACAAACATAGAGTTAGCTCAGACCAATCATAGATTTTAGATGCGCCGAGCTTGATGTCAAAGTATCCCAGGTGTTTTGCGCTTTTGACAGGAACCAGGTATTGCGTACCTTGACCGGGGCCACCATTGTTCGCCATGGTGAGCGCAAACTGATAGAGTACCGAGAGACAGAACGCTTTCTTGTCACTCGGAAAGCCTTTGAAATGGCGTGGGGGGTGGTTATCAAGGAATGAGTTCAGTCTCCGGAGGAGTCAAGGTCGGGTTGGGGCTCCGCATTAGGATCAGTCACGTGCCATATATTGATCTATTGAATAGGCATTTTTGCCTCTATTGTGCTTTGAGCGCAACATTTTCAGTTTATTGTTGAGAATGGCTAATGAGTGGAGGTATTGATGTTCTTTCAACCAATCTCTTAATATAGTACATTGTTAGTCAATCAGATCAATCAGGCATCGATTCTTTCTAGGCAAATCAGTACCTGCCAAGCTTCAGGCTCTAAAAAGCGCATAATTAGTTGTAGTCTAAACAAAAATTATAATACAATATCGTGTACATGTTAGAAAAAAAGGATCATGAATAATTTGAAAAGCAAAGGGCACTGTTTGTGCCGCCAAAGCCAAAGCTGTTTGTCAAGGCAACATCAATCTGTCGTGACTGGGGAACTTTCGGCGCATAGTTGCAATTAAACCCATCAGCCAAGCGGTCGAGATTGATAGTAGGTGGCATAGTATTCTGTTCCTTGTTAGCACAAACCCTGGCACAATATTTCCAGTGCACAGCAGCAACTCACCTCATGGATTGCAAGTACACTGAACAAAGCTTCTATAGCACCGGCACCTCCAAGCAGATGACCGAGGGCACCCTTTGTGCTGCTAACGTTCACATCAGCAGCCTTATCTTTGCCATCAGGGCCAAGCAGAAGCGCCTTGATAGCAGCATTCTCAGCAGCATCGCCGACAATGGTCGAAGTTGCATGTGCATTGATATAGTCAACCGCAGCAGGGCGTAACTGGGCTTGCTTAAGCGCCTTTTTCATAGCCATAAACGCGCCTTCCCCATTTACCTTGGGCGATGTCATGTGGTATGCGTCGCTAGAGCAGCCATATCCTCTGAGTTCTGCATAGATCCGCGCCCCTCTTGCGAGAGCATGCTCTAGCTCCTATATTCAGACATCAGTATCAGGTTGTAGTGTGTAGATAAGAGGCAAAACACTAACCTCAAGAACCATTACAGCTGCGCCTTCGCCAACCACAAAGCCTGCACGGTCGGCATCGAACGGGCGTGACGCCTTCTCTGGAGTGTCGTTGAATCCCGTCGCTAGACTTCTTGCACGCGCAAAACCGCCAATGGCCAAAGGATGGATACAGGACTCGGCACCACCAGCGACCATGACATCGGCATCACCGCAGGCAATAAATCGAGCTGCATCACCAATGGAATGGGCACCAGTCGTGCAGGCCGTTGTTGCAGAATGGGTCGGGCCCATGAAGCCGTACTTCATGGAAATATGCCCAGCGCCAAGGTTGATCAGCAGCTTCGGCACGAACAGCGGATTGATCTTCTTGTAGCCCTGTGCAACAAGTTAATTATAGGCTTCCCTATATCACGTACGATAGAAGAACCTCACCCCCTTTTCGTAGGCAACAACCGTGTTGTAGATTTCATCAAAGTTTCCAATGCCTGATCCCAGGCAGACTCCCTATAAAAATGGTTAGTATAGCCGTCAAACTAGGGCATATTCCCACACATACCGTCGCCTCCCTCTGCTCAAAAGGCTCGGGCTTCCAATCTGCGTCTTGAAGCGCCTCTTCCGCCGCTACCATGGCATACTGCGCAAACTTGGCCATCTTCCGCTCTTCCTATCCATCCCCAAAGTGTCAGCATTGCAAATAAAACACGCATCACAATGTGAGGGTAGTTGGGGGAAAAAACTTACACCCCGATCCAACCATTCCGAGGCAGTCCACCCCCCATTCTCACGACTGCCCTGTGGCACAACAGCAGCAACCTGACAGGGCTGCTCAGCATAGCGCTCATCGCGATCTTTCACATTAACAACGCCGCAATGGCCATCTAGCAAGCGTTTCCATGTACGCCGAATTCCTGTAGCCAAGCACGGTGTTAGTCACGCATTCACATATTCCAAACACCAAAGTACGATCAAAGACGTATAGTAAAACCCAGTACGTAAATAGCGGGTATTGTCTCCTATCTCAAGGTGTCCCGCACTGGTCCGTATGCCCTCCGTCATTGGTTGTCACAACCTTCCCTTTCCGGAGTGGGAAGTGGGGAATGTAGAGGGAGCTCAAAAGCCCAGATTCCGGGGATATCGGATATCACGTATGAGCCCCCGGATAATCAGAGATGGGTAGAGTGTGCTCGCAGGGGATTGCCTTGCTGACAGACGGAATTGGGGAATTGCGGAATAGCGTAATTGCATGCATCGATAACATGCCAAGGTGATCTCCAAGGACGACCTTGGAGCTATCAATGCCAACAGAACAACAAAAACAACCAAAAAAAGGAAGTAACTCACCTACACCAAGCGGTGTCACCGCCCCAAGACCAGTTACAACAACTCGTCGCATTGCATCGTCGATATCCTTGTATCAAAGCTATCGGAGGTAGTTGTCAAAAGAAAGAAAACGGAAAAGCGGGCCAAAGCCAAGAAGGGAAAGTCTGCACGATCGGGACAACCCTATCTGTTCGTCTTTCCCTTTACAACACTGCTGCTTCAGGAAACTTAACGAGACAGAGACATGTAGAGAAATAAATATCCTCATTTCCAACTTCCCTTTTACTTCATCCCAATTACTCCAGCCATGCCTGCTTGGAAAACCTTCCTTACACTGGCTTTGGCCGGTTCCGCGGCCTCCTGCGCGCACCACGATAACGGCGAGGTAGTGCCCGAACATGAGCGAGCGGAATTACTCAAGAAGTGGGATCAGGAGGTATGATGACACTATGATACTACAATATCCAAGAAATGAGGCCCGAACAATTCCTAATATGTAACTATCCAGTGGTCCTTCTCCGGCATTGCCAGCTTCGCCCACCTGAAGCCGGTCAAGTGTCTTATCGAGCCCGATGAGCACTACGACATTGCCATTATCGGCGCGCCATTTGATACAGCTGTCAGCTACCGACCAGGTACGAAAGCAACCCTTCCCAATTCCCATCACCCACTACCGACACAGCATACAAACCAAACCCATGAAACGCAATACTAACAAAACCCCGCAGGAGCCCGCTTCGGCCCACGCGCAATCCGCGCCGCGAGCGCGCGCCAAATGGCCGCAACAAGCTACAACACACGCGCGGGACTGAACCCATACCAATCGTGGGCTAAGATCACCGACTGCGGTGACATCCCTATCACACCGTTCGACAACGGGCTCGCCGAGCGGCAGATGTACGAAGCGTTCCTTGAGCTAGGGTCCCGCCGGATCGTGAACAAGGCACCGAAGGCGAACGGGATCGGCGCCAAGCACCCCAAGCTCGTAACGCTTGGTGGAGACCACAGTGTTGCGCTGCCCGCGCTGCGGGCTCTGTACCAGATCTACCAGAAGCCGATCACAGTCGTTCACTTCGATGCCCATCTCGATACATGGAATCCTGTTCGGTACAGCGCGTACTGGCAGTCCGAGCAGACGCAGTTTAACCACGGGTCGTTTTTCCACAAGGCTAGTCGGGAGGGACTGATTTGTAATTCTACGTCTGCACATGCGGGACTGCGGACTCGGCTTACTGGTGTTGATGCGGGGGATTATACGAATCCCGGGCCTGAGCAGGGATTTATTCGGATTCATGCGGATGATATTGATGAGCTTGGGCCCATGGGTGTTGTTGAGACGATTCTTGCTCGTACCGGGATTGATCCTGAGCAGCCTGTTTATCTTTCTGTTGATATTGATGTTTTGGATCCGTCGACGGCGCCGGGGACGGGGACGCCTGAGCCTGGTGGTTGGACTACGCGGGAGTTTATTCGGATTCTGCGTGGGTTGGAGAAGTTGAATATTGTCGGCGCGGATATTGTGGAGGTTTCGCCGGCTTATGATAATAAGGGGGAGACTACTGCTCTTGCGGCGGCGCAGGTTGCTTTTGAGATTATTACTAGTCTTGTTAAGTCTGGTGTTGATGAGGAGCTTGGTGGGTGGTATGGGTGGATGGAGCAGGAGGGAGCTCAGGAGAAGAAGGAGGGTAAGGATGAGCTTTGAGTTTGGACATTTTAGATCTACGAGATGCATGTGGAACGAAGTGAAGAATGAATGACATACTTTCTTGAATGATCTCTTGTTTCCTATCTAGATATAAACTGGAGTGATGTCATGGCACCGTAGAGCCTATGTGAGCTCATTTAGCCTATGATATCAGTGACTCGGACCTCGGGAGGTAATCTTGGAAATAAAATATCAAAATGCTACAAGCTGAGTAGCGGATATACACTTTACGCCCAAAAATCTTCGTAGAACTGGTTGAATGGGAGTCTGCGACTTTCTAAGACCCAGAAATAACGTTGCTCTTCAGTGAGACATAACTCGAAAGACTGCAAGAGAACGCAGAAAGAACATGAAAGGAGATGCTTGTATCAAGAGCACGCGCATAGAGAGTAATGGCGATAGTAGATCAGATTGGAATAAACGGCGAAATCACAGAGGCAAAAAAAAAGACGCAGAGAAGAAGCCGGATCTGCAAGAGAAGGGTACAGCAAGCTCAAATTCATAGCCCGGGGGGTTGGTCGCAAAGCTGGGGGTACATAAATAGCACGTCAAGGAGAAAAAAGACTGGGGATATGGGACAACAGTGACGGAAACCATGCAGCCAAAAGACGATGCCCTGACGTCCAACGCCGAGAGAGACGATCGAAGAGGTGCAAGCGCCGGGTGCGGAGAGGGTGATATGTAGGATGTGGGAGTGTAGCCGACGCGACAAAAGGGGAGAAGAAGGTCAAAATTGCTGTCGCTGTAGTTCGTAAAGAGGAGGAATGAGGGTAGAGGATCGGGGGAAGTGAAAGGCGAGAAGAGACGAGTACCAACAGTAACTCGAGACCAGGTCGTTGAAGACGACAGATAGACGCAGCCAGGCGAAGCAAGAAGAAAAGAAGCAGAGATAGAGAGCCAAAAAAGACACGGCAAATTAGAGAGGCTAGATCTCGAACCGGGATATGCGAACAGAGACAAAATAAGAGAAAAGGAGATCAAGAAAAAGCACAGAAGCCATTTTCAACTGGAAAACGTAGATATGGAACGCTTCAGATAGCATCGCTAGCCATAATACAAGACCACACTCCCCCCCCTTTTTTTTTGTCGCTGAATTTGGATATCCCAGAAAAACCAAACCAGACGAGCCAGAAATATTTGCCGCCCAATAGAACGTGAAAAGAGTAGAAAAAGAGAAATAAACAGGTTCATTCCATCGTAGCTGCTTCGAGGCGCGCGTCAACCAGGCATCAACCGAAGTGCAACATTATCCGTCGCACTCGGACCAACCCGTTGCGATAAATCCGTGAGGGGTAAGTTCACAGCAAGCGGCAGCCCCTTGACTTCTTCTTGGGCGCGGGCTCGAGTGCCGCAACAATAGCCTAGAAAGTAGAAAAGAAACGGGGGTCAGTGGCGGTGTGGAGATATCGGGCAGCAAAAAATGGAAGAATCGGTGTACCTCGTCAAAGACATCCTTCAGCTTATACTGTGTCAGGGCGGAACACTCCACGTATTTAACAGCGCCAAGTTCCTTAGCCATCCGGTCACCGTCTTCCTTGCGGATGGGGGACATCTTCTGGCGGGCGAGCTTATCCCGGACACCGGCGTCGTCGCGCAAATCGGTCTGGGTGCCGACGATCAGGCAGGGAACACCGGGGCAGTGATGGTGGACTTCCGGGAACCACTTTTCGCGGACGTTCTCGAATGAGGCGGGTGAGGTGACGGAGAAGCAGACCAAGAACACGTCAGTCTGCGGGTAAGAGAGCGGGCGCAGGCGGTCGTAATCCTCTTGGCCGGCGGTATCGAACAGTCCAAGGGTGTAGGGCTCATCGCCGATCCTGAATTTGGAGAGCGATCGGTTAGAAGTGTTTCTTTGAGGCTGGACTGACGTATAATATTTTTTTTCATGAAAGAGGGGGTTCGAAGGATGACTTACATCACGGTCACGGCGTAGTTGTCAAAGACGGTGGGGACATATTCCGAAGGGAACTTGTTCGTTGTGTATGAGATGAGCAGACAGGTCTTTCCTACTGCACCGTCCCCCACCACGACACATCTGGGTTGGGGTTAGCCATGAGATCTTGGGGGGGTTTTTCGCCTCGGCAAGGAGGGGATAGTGAAGCGAAATGGAATAGCGTACTTGATGGTAGCGACGACCATTTTGAATTAATGAGTATTGATGTAAGAGTGTTAGGGGAGAAGAGTGTGGAAGACAAAAAGGGAGGAAGAAGCTGTGGTCTGGATTGAATGGGGCAACCCGCAGAGTATGGAGTCTAGACACGGTGCTAGTCTCGATACACGGTCTGTACAGCTCTCGCTTGATTAACAGCCTATGGTATTTATTAAAGTATTAGGGGGATATTTTAGATATAAAATATGGATCTTTTATATTTCTACGGAGTACAATTTTATATGATCTAATATCCATGGATTAATATGATATTTCCTGTGTCATTCATTACTGTGCCAAGAGAACGGTACCAGTATCTCATCTCCCTCATCTCCCCCTCGACTCCTATAAATACTATAAATATCAACGGCCAGCCGCTGTCGGCTAAGCGCTGTGATCCATTATTTTCTATTCTCTAGACTCGAATTTGAGGCTTCTAGGGGGACCACAGCTTAAATAGAACCCAACATATCTACGTAAGTACTAAACACCTATAACTAACCCTAATAATACCAAGTATAGCCTTGGAAGTCTCCTAAGATAAGCCCGGTCTTATAAACCACCCTCGAGGAACAAAATGAGAGGTTCCTCCGGAGTATTTACCCTTACCCCCTTTTTCCTTCGAGTCAACTCTTTTTCTTTCACCTTTTTCCCGTGACACAAAAGAAACCAAGAAAAGAAAAAAAAAAGCAAAGTTAATAAAAAAAGATCCCCAATTTCAATCCCGTTTCACCATTCACGGGTTCCCGGTCTGCCGTCTCCCCCTCGGCCCTAAATCTCCCCTTTTGCAACCCGTCGTTTTACGAGAGATCCAAGGACCTAGATGGATAGAATAAAATACAATTCATACATAGTACTCCGTATACAGTCGAATCCAATCCAGCATACTCTAATTCTTACCTACTCCATCCCCCGTAAGTGGCTTGTTCCCGTCCCAGCTTGGCACGATCCAGATCCAGTCTCTCCACAACTATCGCCTTCACTGGGTTGGCTGAGGTCATTGCCCAAGTGCGTGACTCACATTACTAACCAAGTATGTCTATGGATACATACGTAGCTAATGATGGATGGCTGACAGCTGACGGCTGACATGACATCCGTATATTGCAGCATGCGTCCTCCATACGGAATACCTCCGGACAGTACGGAGTATAGCATTCACAGTAAGCACATGCACATGCCAGGGGTGCCGGGCAGATCAAATTCGTATCGCGTGTATCCTCAAGCCCCCCGTCGCGGTTTCTGGTATGCATGCATGCATATATGCAGGTACATGCACGGGTAATATACGTGGATAGACGTGGTGCTTATGACACCTGGGCCCGCAAGGGTGTGGTATACGAGCTGAATAAGGGCTGGGGGATGGGCTGGGGAGAGAAGAGGAAAAGAAAAGAAAAGAAAAGAAAAGAATAGAGCTGGTTCAATCTTTACAGGTCTAGCTAGGCTTTCGAGATTTGAAATGAAGTCGAATCCAAATCATTCCCGCATTGACGGATAGCAGTGGATACATATAAGGCCACGATGCGTGAAGTTTGGGCTGGACTAGGCAAGTATATTTGATTCTGGTGTAGGCCGATGTAAAGTACTTTGTATAGTGTGCAAAACTGGGGGAATTGACTTTATTTCTGACCGTTGCAGAGAGATGAAACCCACTAGGCCGTAACTGCAGGAGAGAAACATATTACAGCCCGAGGGGTCTGGGACGGCAAGCCGGCCGGATCGGAATAATCGCTTGGTTTTGGTGGAAGTTTGCTGTTGGGGGAAACCGCCGGAGTGTTTTGGAGTGTACGGACTATGCTTGACCAGGTTATGGGTTATGGCCTGGAGGCGACATGGGTTCATTATCTTTGTTGACGATATAAATTATTGTGATGTGTTCGGGCAGTGCAGTGTAGTGTAGCAGGGCAAGTCTTTCTCTACCGCTTGGGTAATCTTTTGGGATTGATTCCTATCCAGGTCTATTGAACTGTTACAGTCTTGGAAAGATAGATACCTCTAATCACATGAATACATGAGTAAGTAGTAACGCCGAATGCATATGATGGACTGGCTCATCTCCAGTCCGGATGAACAGAATATATCGGGGATCTGTTACACTTTGCTCAAACAGCCCTAAACGCCGCTTGCTGGTTTGTATCCAGATGCAGTAGAAAGATTAAGCCATGAAAAAGCCCCACAGAAAGCTTCAGGTCGTAAGATCGTAATCGTCGTGTGCGGTGAATTCACACAGTAATGCTGGGGTTTAGGTTCGTTTGGTGTGTCTGTCATCCGAGCTGGGCTCTGCCTCAACTGGAGCCGGGTCGCTCCGGGGTTCGGGGCTACCGTAGCCCATCTAGAATCAAGTCAGAGGAGATCATCAAAAAGCATTGTTTGGCAACTTACCTTGTCAAGTTTGTAGTTGACCATGAGAAGACTCAACGGAATGAGGGGGAGGGTAGCGATGACAGCCAGCGTCAACAGCCTGTTCATGGTCTCTTGGTATGCACGGTTGATAGCAATGCGAGTTGGAGATCCCATTGGGTAGGACAGAGCGGTGGTCAGCTTGCCGAAGATTTCAGCAGCTTGGTCCTTGCTTTCCTCTGGGAGGTAACGGAGAAGCTTGTGTGGGATGGCCGAGGACCAAACGGCTCCTGAGATAGCGGCGCCAACTGCACCGCCCATCTCCATGGAAGTCAGGAACATCGCAGTGGCTGCTGCAACTTCCTGGTGGCTGGCGGATGCTTGGACGCCTAGCTGGACGGGCACGTTAACCAGACCGCCACCGATGCCGACTATGATTTGTGTACCGAGGACTTGGAAGTGCGAGGCTCCTTCTCCTCGGTACAAGAGCATCAGGGCTAGGCCGGTCATGTACACAACACACCCGATGGTAATGTAGATGCGGTATCGTCGGGTATACTTGATAAGAATTGATACACTGAATGCAGCAATGGTTGAGGTGAAAGAAAAGGTCTGGGTGACACGCCCGGCAGTGGCAACGTCGTACCCTTGTACAACCTGCAGGTAGGAATAAAGATAAGGCTGAACGGAAAAGTAGAAGGCCACTAGGTAAGGTTAGCAACAACACCTCGAATTTCGAGAGAATAATCAACGTACTGAAATACCAGAACGCCAATGCACAGCCCGCAAGAGCAGTCCTCTGCTTGAGGAGGTGTAGAGAGAGCAGGGGCTTGGGAGCCAATTTTCGTGAAGACTCCCAGAACGGTAGCAGGCACAGGCAAACAACACCAAGCGCAATCATGACCAAAATACTGACATTCTTCCACCCGTTCTTTGCGGTGGCCGCAAGAGTCAAAGGCACCAAAATTAATGTGACGGCAGCGGACAAAAGGGCCAGTCCGCCCACGTCCAGATCGTACCAGGTCCGACGCATGACGCTGACCAAGTTCATCCGTCTTCTGGTCCGCTTTTTGATCAAATTCAATCTCTGGGCCTTGCGTTGGTTGAAGAGCAACGTAAGAGCGAGTGGCAGGAAGGATGCAGGCAAGATAATAGCCCACATTCCATAACCCCATCGCCATGAGCTAGTGCGCAGCACCGCGCCTGCAATGGTCGGCCCGAGCCAGACCGTAGCCAAGAATGGGAATTGGGGGAGGAGGGCGAGGAAGGCACGATTCAGCAAGTCACTGCTGTCGGCGATGAAAACTTGTTGGAGGATCTGCAAGCCCGTCGAGCCGGCGGAGTAGAAGATTTGGGCAGAGGCGTAGGTCTGGACGTTGGTAGAGCCGGCCATTTGGATGTATCCCAGCATGTAGATAAGGATGCTTAAACAGAAAGCTTCGAAGCGACCAAATACGTCGGCGATCTTAGCCATAGGGGGTTTGATGACAGCTAGAGATCGATTAACGATTAGCAGCCGCTCATTGCTTCGAAGCGGGATAGTGAACTCTCACCATTGACCACATTTTGGATAACGAGGACGGTCGAGATCAACGAATGTTTACTGAATGCACTTGTCGCATATGCAGACAGCGACATCACAGTCTGACCTTCTAGCGACGTGCAGAATGCCATGAGGAATATACTTCGCGCTAAGTCAGCAGGGGTTCAGCAAAAGCACGGAACTGCAAGCCACACGAACCTGACGTAGGCCACCATTAAAGACGTAGTTGTCCAAGTCAGATTGATGGCTTCAATCTTTTGGACTCCCTCCTGCATTTCATCCGGTGTAGACAGTCCAGTAGACTGGCCCTCGATCTCGTAGTCTTCCTGCAACAGTTGATCCCGTTCATCCTCCATTCTGGCGTTTTCGTGTTCGATAGTGCCGTAGGACGGTCCTGAGCGTGGATCAAGAAATGGCATCTCGTGACCGACGCACCGTTAACAGAAGATCGAATGCGTTCAACGGAAGTATTCTCTAATAGACAGCATCCATATAAGAATAACCGGCAAGAGAGTTCGGTCTGGGATTGGTAGAAACCATATACAAAAGACGGCGACCTTAGAAGCGGCAATTAAGCGGGAAGCAGATCATCAAAAAAAAATAGTTCATGCGACATGAGACGTAAGCAGCGGCAGGTGTATCACATAAAAGGGATGAAAGCCCGCTCTAATAAGTAAGTACTTTCGGTCTTCAGCCAGATGCCCGAACCAGTCAGATCCACGGGGGAAAAGAAACGACAACACGAGATGTCAACAGCGAATCGGAGACCGGATTAGGACAGGACAAGAAGAAAATAAATATGGGGCGCGATATGTAAAAAGTCGTGGAAGCGCGCTTGCCTCGGGGGTTGGCCCATGAAGGGCTATTGTAAGTTAGAGGATCCAGTAGGCAGCTATGGGGCAGATTGGCGGATGGGTAGATCCGCCGTGCTTCGGAGAGAGACGCCCAAATGTAAGGGGAAGCAGGACTTGTAGAGCTTAGGACTGCAAGTCTTGGTTTTGCTGCGCAAACTGACACCAAGCCCGATCATCGGTCGCACTTATGCACGTTGATGGGGTCTGCGGTGGCAGAGAGGTGAGGTGAGAGAGGCTGAGGTCCGATCTCAGCTCATCGCTAGCATTCCAGGATGCTGCACCAAGATAGATAAGAAACAGTGTCACAATAGTCCAGTCATCATTCTGGGATGTTGAAATGCCCCAGGTGTTTCCCAGTGTATTTTCCTAAAAGGTAAAGATGCATGTGTAAGAGGAAAATTAAAAAAAAAGGTGGAGTTTCGGGCACGACCCTTTTGAGGATTGGAGGGGTACCCGCGGAATACACCTGTCACTTGGTGGCATGGGCTGACACTGTGGTACTGCCAAGTCATTTCTTCCCTGGTTCACATCATCAGATAAGATGAAAGTTTGATTTTCCTTTTGATCTTTGTTTCTATGCCTTATTTGTTTCGAAGGTAGTTCTTTCATTCATTATTAGCGAAGACGGAACTTCATAACTACATAATATATTGGAAATGTTCTCCACTATCTGGCAGCAACATGCATTGCTACCCCGTCTAACTCCGATCTAGGGAACCATCATGTCACTGCCGGAATGACGGAGCCGGTCACTTGACCTGGGGCTATGTCATTTTCCCTTCTACATTTAATGTACGATAATTGATATAATTTATAGTGGAAAGTAAATTTGGAAAAGGGATGGAAGACATGGAAGCAATCTCTAACTTACTTCACTCCACTTGTGTCATATCCACACGCGACTGGTGTGACCTCGGCATCCGAAATAAGGCTTGTGCAGCGCATATGGACACCCGATTGTCGGGATTACACCACACTAGGTATAGTAGGATCAGATAACTCCAACCGGGAAGGTGTAGGCCTACGATCTCTAACGGGGTAGTGTACAGATATAGGATAGCATTGCATTAATAACGAGAACATGAACAGAAAGAAGACCCGAAGGCTATCTAATCCACATTATAGCTAGAGGTCTAGGAGTACAATATAGACACCCAACAGAGTACTCAAGTCCCACCTGATAATCGGGTAATCTAATAATTTAATGTGCACAATGTACTACTTGTAGAGCCTAATATTTGTCGTTATGTGTTCAAATTAGCATTAATCACTCCGTTGATGCACCTAGTAACCGCGAGTGGCTAGCATGGTTAATCATCCGCTATGACAAAAATCGGACTATAAATCTGGGAAGAGACCGATTTTATCGACTGGACTGGAATCTATCCGCACATCGTCCAATCTGCGCCATGTCAGTCATCTTTGGCATATGCACAGGTTGACCTGGAACTCTGTGGAGCCGTGGTATGTCTGCAGCAAGCCGGCATCCTTATTTCTACCAGTATAGATCATGAATGTTCTGCTGTGCTCCATTGCAACGTATGGTCAAAAGTAGTCTTGCTTTGCTTCATTCCAATTATCCTATTTGTCATATATAATGTCGGTTCTTCCCAGTGACCATCGCCATCCCCTTATTGGGGGATCTAATTAACAACATCCCGACGATCTATTCCTGGTCTATAACCAAATGACCGAAATTGACAGGCAACTCCTTGCCCTCACTTGATGGCCGAGCAGCATAGACACCAACCCAGAAATCCTTCACATTCTCCTCGTCAAAGACCCAAGTGATCTCCCGGATAGGGGACTTCTGCAAACCCTCAACAAGATAGATCCACAGACTATTGTCCTTTTCCTTAACCAGCTCAAGAGTTGCCGCACCACCGCCCGAGGGCACTGGACGCAAGCTCCAGTCTGCCCAGTTGTCTTTGGCGACGACGCTCAGGTGGGGTCGGCCGTGGGTAAGTTCAATGCCGCTCTTCACCCATTTCTGGCCGCCATCGGCGGTATTCAGGACGAGAATCACGCCGCCCTGGTCATAGTTCTTCTCCCAAAGGGCATTGAAGGCGACGCGGACCCGCTTGAATGACTTCAGCGGCACAGACTTGTACAAGATCGGAGCTGAGAAGCGAATGGTGGAGGGCGGCTTGGCCCATATATCTGTGGAAGCCGGTGCTTTGATGGTAAACTCTGGGGGAGGAGTACCGTTGCCTGGCACTTTGGCATCTGAATTGGCGAATTTGAATTGCGATTGCGCCATGGTGGGCTGTGGAATGCGGGGAAACAGTGGTATAATGACACAGATGAAGTATGTTCAGTCACCACGCCGCAGATATTTGGACAAATGGGTGGTTTAAGTGGAAGATTGAAGATTTCAAGGTGAGTGAACACAGAGTGTGAGTGGAAAGATAAATGATTTCATCCGGGCGCGAATAGAACAGGTAGTCCATGGGTCCCCCGACTACAGCTACGTCACTACATACCGGAACTTGCATCGGAAAATCATATTGCGCATTTGTTTTCCGCTGGGGTTACCCAAATGATGAAATAGATACAGAGGTTCTCCATTTAAGTTTTTGTTCAATGTTTTATTTCGCTATCTACAGTCATATTCATTGAACCCCAGAAACATTTGAGCTCGTTGTACATGATTGTCTGACACCACGTGATCGTATTGATGATGTAAGTTCTCCATGGGGAAAATAACCAAACAGGTTGCTTTTTCACTATCATCAATAATGGCCGCAACGAGCCACCTTATTGGATCAATTTGCAGTTGAAGATAGTCCCAAGGGTGTTTACCCATTTGGCGACACGATCCAATATGACTGCACGACTACTGCATCCCGATGAATGGGAGCTTGCCTCACGATCCTCAGTTGACTCGCAGGGGACGTTCAATCTTGATGAGGCCGATTTTGAAGCCCAAGTCCCTTCTTCATCCAAATTTGGCAAACGCAAACTGCCCTGGCTATCCCGGATCATCTCTTCGGCGTCAGCGGGTTATCGCCGCCTGAACAACCCTTCCAGACCGGCCCTCGCAGGTACACCACGACCGAGCTGTTCTCGACGTTTCTGTATTCGCCGCTGTTGCTACCTCCACGTCGTCGCCGGAATCGTTTTCACCCTCGCGCTTTTCACCTCGCTACTCTTCCCGTCATATACCCATCTACCCGCGCATTACTCTACACTCCACAAAACAATACTCGAGAGCTCCTATCCCGGACGAGGCAATCCCCACCAGGAGAAGGTCTTTATTGCAGCAAGTCTGTATGATAGTGATGGCAAGCTTGCTCAGGGGCAATGGGGAACACAACTCCTGGAGTTGATTGATCTGCTTGGACCTGACAATGTGTTCCTGAGTATCTACGAGAATGACAGCGGTGAGGAGGGAGAGCGCGCATTGCGCGCGTTAGACGAGCAAGTGCAGTGCCAGAAATCAATTGTGTCTGAAAAGCACCTGGACCCGAAAACCATACCGACTGTGACCATTCCCGGTGGATCAAAGCGAATCAAGCGCATCGAATATCTGGCCCAGGTTCGGAACCGAGCATTACAACCATTGACCGACCACCCGGAGATGAAATTCGATAAGTTACTCTATCTTAATGACATCCTCTTCCACCCTGTCGAGGTCCCCCAGCTCTTATTCTCAACAAACGCCAACGAAGACGGCGTTGCCCAATACCGCGCTGCCTGCGCCGTAGACTTCGACAACCCCATCAAATTCTACGATACATACGCCACCCGCGATCTTGAAGGTTACAGCATGGGACTCCCCTTCTACCCATGGTTCACATCATCCGGAAAAGGCGAGAGCCGAAGCGATGTGCTGGCCGGCAAAGACGCAGTGCGAGTGCGCAGCTGCTGGGGCGGAATGGTGGCATTTGATGCCAGATACTTCCAAGCCGGCTCGCCGCCCACAACCCCCAACCCAGCACGCTTCCGCTCCGGACACGATCTCTTCTGGGAGGCGTCTGAATGCTGCCTCATCCACGCAGACATCCAAGACCCGCCAACCAACATCGACGAGATCACCGATACGGGCATCTACATGAACCCGTTCGTGCGGACCGCTTATGACCACCGCACACTCTCTTGGCTGGGAATCACCCGCCGCTTCGAGGGGCTGTACTCATTCCTCCACAACCTTGGCAATCACCTTGTCGGTCTTCCTTGGCACAATCCCCGTCGCGCCGAAGTCCCCGGTCAAATTGTGAAGGAGACTGTGTGGGTTACGGATGCTGCGAAGGAGGGTGGCGGCTCTTTCCAGGCCGTTGATCGGGTTGCGGGCAATGATGGCTATTGTGGTCGTCGTGGCCTTCAGGTTATTGTTGAAAACCGTAAGCCCGGGCAGAAAGGATTCGAGGGTATTCCTGTCCCATCGTAGAAGCTTTAATATTCTGGAATCAGATACCCATTCTACCCATTCTTGTTATATAGATTTGCTTATTTTTTGGTGGTGTCTTCGGTGTATTGATAGTTTTGTGGAAGAGATCTTTAGAAGCATTAAATAAATGAATAATATCCCAATGTTTACACCTCTTACTCCGCCTAAGACTATGCCCTGGTGTATCAAAGTAAAGCACCCGGGACCGGGATTAAATTTCCGTCCAGGAGACCCGTCGCCTTTAGCGTTGGCAGCCCATGGAGGGCATCACGGCGTTGTTCGACTGCTGCTCAACCGCAATGCCAACTTACATGGCCACAAGAAACCGGTGAACGAAAGAGGAACAAAAGGCTGAGGCAGAGAGAGGTCAGCAGAACACTGTGCGACCACTACGCCGTTTCTATTGGCGAAAGAAGTATCACAATGTGCCAACATCGGAATGAAGCATACAGGCGAGGCCCGTTCCGCGGGTAGCTATAAGAGCGGAATTCTCCCATTTCCCCGCATTTCCTCAGATCGAAGGTATATAAATAATATGCCTAGTGACTATATATACTAACTAGCACATCAGGAGACAATACTTGTGGACTCACCATGGCCATCATCTCAGAAGCATTGATCTCAGCCTGGTCACATCTACCAGCCATCTTTGTCACCCTTGCTATATTTCACTTCACGCACAATTATCTCAAACCAGGAGTAGCGTCAATCCCTGGACCATTACTGGCGAAGATAACGAACCTTTGGAGGCTCATCGATGTTGCCAATGGTCGTGCAGAAGTGACGCTTCATAACCTCCACCAAAAACACGGGGACTATATTCGACTAGGACCCAACGTGGTCAGTGTGCGGAATTTGGATGCCTTGAAAACTATATATGGCATCAATAAGGGATATCAAAAGGTGGATTCAGATTACAAGAGACTGATTGATCTTTCCACTAACGTTCCCCAAGACACATTTCTATTCTGTTCAGCAGCAGCTTGCCAAAGGCAGACCGACACCTACACTATTTACTACAACCGATGAAGTTTTCCATGCTGCTATTAAAAGGCCTGTCTCATCAGCTTATTCAATGAGTACTCTAACTGAATTCGAGCCTTTTGTCGATAAGACTATCTATACTTTGTTTGGGAAATTGGATGAATTTGCAGCTGAAGCAAAGGTCTGCGATATTGCTGCTTGGCTACAATACTGTAAGTACTCTATTTCTTCTCGTGAGACATGAGAGCAGGAGCTAACGTAGCTGGAAAAGATGCATTTGATGTCATTGGAGAATTGACATTCAGTAAGCCGCTCGGGTTCCTCGAGAAAGGGAATGATATCGACGGAATCATCGTCGCATTGGAGCATATGCTGGACTATGCCGGAAAGGTTGGCTTGCGACGCATCAGATAATTGACATGAAAGCTAATTATATTGAGTGATAGGTTGGGCAGATGCCATGGCTTGACTACCTTTTCATCAAGAACCCTCTCAGGAGCTTTTTCGGAGGGGGTTCGACCGGAGCTGTGGCTCGCTTTGCTCGCGCAAGACTAGACGAACGATTGAACCAAAAAAGCATGTCACCAGTGGCCAGCACACACAAGGACTTTCTCGATCGGTTTTTGGAAGCAAAAAATGAGCACCCGACTATTGTGGACGATAACCAAGTCTTCTCATATACTATCAGCAATATGAATGCTGGATCCGACACAACGGCGATTTCTCTCCGAGCAATACTTTATTACACCCTTAAGAACCCGCGGACAAGTATGAAACTGTACGAAGAGCTCACCATCGCCTTGGAAGAAAATCGGATCTCTTTGCCTGTCTCGTGGAAGCAAAGCCAAGAGCAACTCCCCTACCTCGATGCAGTGATTAAAGAAGCACTACGTCTTCACCCAGCCGTGGGATTGATGCTTGAGCGGGTCGTGCCCGCTGAGGGACTTCAGCTTCCTGATGGTGGCCCATTTTTACCGGCTGGTACGATAGTCGGTGCTAATCCGTGGATAATACATCGTCACCGGGTCTTTGGGGAGGATGTGGAGTCATTTGTTCCGGAACGGTGGCTCAAGATGGATACTGAGTCTGAGAGCAATTTCCAGGACAGAAAGCAGAAGATGCTTCGTGCGACATTTACATTCGGAGCTGGACCGAGGACTTGCATTGGCAAGAATATCAGTCTGCTTGAGATTTATAAGCTGATTCCATCGCTACTTCTAAGATACAAGGTGAGAACATGGTTCCAAAATGAGATTTGACTCTAACCAGGGCCCTTCAGATTGAACTCAATGATCCTAGTGCAGAATGGGAGACTGTTAATGCGTGGTTTGTGAGGCAAAAGAATATGGATGTGAGATTGAGACATAACAGCGAGGCGATAGCAGGGTCATAAAGTTGGACAGTGGCAACCTCGGGAGGAAGAACTCGAAGGGGTAATACACTCTCTGTTTACATCTAAATCCAGTAGATTTTATATTGCAGATACTAGTTACCTGAGGCTAGAATAGCTGAAGCTACCAGTAGAAGAAGAGCGAAGAAGACGATGCTCAAAAGGTATCACAGCCTTTCTTCTAGTGCTTTGACCAATATCCGCGTAGTAGCTAATGGACAATATATTGCCTAAACCACAATGAGACAGGTTGATAAAAGCAAGCAGTCTCTACAAGAGCAATAAAAAGCATAAAGAACACTGTTTGTCCACTGGGAGATTTCTTTGTGAGACATCCTGAGAACGTTGGCATGTCTTATAGATACCTGTTCTAACCGAACCAGTTACAAGTGATATGTATAATATGTGCCTTATAGGAATGACTCTAGGTCATTCTATCTTGATGTCCTGCCTTGTCTGGATCTTCGGATTTGGTCTTCTTGTAGGAACGAACAAGGCAGAAGTCATGAATATCTATCAAACGACATTATTAGTGTGAAGCATGTATACATAAAGAGGGATGCTCCTTCCCATTGACAATTGAGTTCTCAAAAGGAAGGAGCCACCCAGTCAATCGTGCCTTCCCAAGTTGAACAACCCTCCCAACACGTTCTGCGCGCGTCCCACGTCCCTGTCAGATAAATTGTTTTGTTTTCTCTTTCTTCTTCTTCTTCTTCTTCTTCTTCTTCTTCTTCTTCTTTTCCTTTTCCTCTCCCCATCTTCATCACCCTTTCTGTTCCATCATGGAGAACGTTAAAGTCATCGGACCTAACGGGCTGGCTCCGCTTACTCTCCAACAACAGGCGGATTTTCACATTACGACTCAGGTTATTTACGACGTCATTAGGAACGCCAACATGATAAGCCTGGAGGAGAGTGCCCATGCTCCTACTGCCGTCCGTAACAAGGCTCGTGCGGACCGTCTTGCTGGTGTGCAGACAGTGTCAGCCCGTCTGAACGCTCGTCGCTTCACCAAGCTGGAGATGAATGAGCTCAAGCTCCATGATGCCTCCAAGAACATTGAGAAGGCTATGGAGCTTGAAAAGGTATGTCACACCCTTCCCCTCATTCACACTCTATCCACAGCTTGACTCTTCCCACCACATGTTCACCTTCTTCTTTCTTTGACTCGCTTCTATTCTCTATTCTTGTTTCTTTTTTGTTCACGAGTCCCTTCAAGTCGCGTCACTCTCGAGAATAACACTCATCTCTCTTCATTACTCCTGTCTCACACTGATCTTCATAGGACAAGAAAGTGGCCGCTTCTCGCACCACTACCTTGCGTGCCCCCGACGCCGCTCAGAAGACTGCCGCTTCTCACACCACTGCTTCGGGTACCCCCACCGCTCAGAAGAATTTCAGTATTGATCCACGTGCTAAGCCGTTTGTTCCTACTGCTGCCGAGCCTGCTGGACACAAGAATGCAACTCTCACTAAAGCTGGTGCCGAAAACAAGGATGCAGACAACGGCTCTACTGCTGGTTCCAAGGCATCTCAAAAGGCTGAGTCCATTGGGGATGAGGAGTCCGCTGGCTCTCCCAAGAAGCCCCGAGGTCTTACTGCCCCCGCTGACTTTATGAAGCAAGTCCGTTTGCTCCACTTGCAGAAGCAGATGGCATCTAAGATTGTGCCTGCTGGACCTCCTCGTCGGATCGTTTTCGGAAATCTTCCCGAGTGGGCAACCATCCCCAGCGTCCTGCAGCTTGTTTACGGTGGTGCTATCGAACGTGCCTGGAGTGAGAACGGCGAAGTCATGGTGCAGTTTGTTGAGCAAGACGACTGTGTCAAATACTATGAAAACCACTCTGAGGGGATCAAGCTGAAGGATGGTGATGACGACGTCACTATTTCTGTCGCTATTCCCGAAGAGGGCCTGCAGGACAATGCCGAGCTTTCTAAGCGTGTCGAAGAGGGTGCTTCCCGTGTCATTTGCCTCTCTGGTCTTTCCCCTGGCTTCAAGACTAGCGACAACGAAAACATCTTGGGTATTGCCGCTGACCCTGTCTGGGGTACGAAGAGCTTCGACCGCATCCTGATCAAGCAAGCTGAGGTAAGTTTGCACGCCAGTAGTTCTATGTTTTGAGTTCCTACTAACTTGTCTTTCCTAGTCTGGTGTTGATGTCCACGTCTTCTTCCATGATATCCATGACGGTTGGGACTTCTTGCAAAGCATCAAGGAGGGAGCGTACGACTGCATTGCCAGCTTTGAAGTTGACCCGTATGTTACCGGTTTACATTTTCCCCACACGATTTCTTTACTGACTAGTTATTCCACCAGATGCGCTCTTGCTCAGGGATTCCATTTTGTGGATGAACCCAACCTGATGTTCACTGGAATTCTTGGCGTGGACTAGTTGGGCCACAGCCGCGTCGATAGCAACCATGGCTATTTGATTTGATGATAGTGAAAGAGATATGGGAGCTAAAAGCGGACACCTCTGGATTCAGATCTTCAAATTCTTTTTCGATGGGTCTTTTAGTTGATGTTTCTTCCTCCTGTTAGGACGTGATTCCATCTAGAGTAGCCCAATCAATGAAAACACAAGTCAACTTTCAATTGGGAACCCCGTATGAACACATGAGCCACCACGGATTATAGAAGCCCCATGTACGGTGTATAGCAGCTGCTACAGTCGTAGGAGAAATCCAACATAGACCTGCAGGTCAACCATAACAATGCCCGACACACACACACAACCTTACCCGTACAAGCCAGATCCCTACACGCTTATCCTCGCACAACCTCAATGCCGTCTCGACAAACATACACCATCTAGAAGAAACATAATTACGAGGATCGTATACATAATAATCAGCCCTGTCTAATTGGCCGATTTAAATTAAATTAATCACGAACTATATCGGCATTTGCAATGCCCCTCTTGCCTTTTACATGTTAGTGCTGATGGGATTCGACAGGGCGGAAGAGTGACAGTGGTCAATTGGAGCTTATTGTGGAGTTTTGGGAATTTAGTGCCAACTGTAGCGTCGGGGATGTTGAACTGATGTGGATAGCTTTGAGTTGTCTAAATTTTAATTTTTTTTTGATGAATTGGTATTAGTATATTAGTACAATATACAACAGTATACGGAGTACTCCGTACAATATAAAATATGCACCACTTTGCAGGACTAAAATGCCAGTCCAAGCCAGTCCAACCTTGGAAACATACATGCATGCAACTTGCCCCATATGCAGTATTACTCCGTTCGACTTTCGAGTGCAGAGTCGTCTTGGAATAAAGATTGGTTCCTGTGTCGCAGCACTGTGACACAATAGGCTGTGCCACTTCTATATTGCAGAGCCCAGTCTCTGTTGTTCTACACTTCATGTTACCTATATCGTACACCGAGTGTTGTAGACTCGCAATAGAATGTGAAATATCCATAAATTCGCAATTCTCTTGATACAACTAGATCGTATTATACAAAACATACAACAGCCCCCAAAGTATATTCACGCCTAAAATGCCCCCCTTGGAAACGAGACACCTTAGGCTGCTATATCACCGTACTACAACATACTAGTATGCTCTAAATATCAAAGCCTCGGCAATTCGCAGATCCTTCTGTCACAGACTCCATACTTATTTTGTATTTCATATGGGCGCATTTACAACATACTCAACACACTTAACTTGGATATCGGCCCCCTTATTGCGTTTCTAGCCCCACAGCCCGAAATAACGCACACAATCCAACAATGCCCTCTAGAAACAATGAGGCTGAGACATCGGATCGGAATTTATCTTTCTGTCAGAGAAAAGCAAAAAAAATCACGATGGAGCAGAGCCCGCGGGTGAATTCCCGAACTCCGACGCGCTAGGAATTGACAGGATTGGCCCCATTTACATTCATGTTTTCTTTTGTTTTGGACGATCTCTATTTCATGCTCTCACCGAACTGGGATTGACAATAGGTACATATGTAGATAAGATCAAAAAGGAAACAATTGATAAAAACAAAAGCAAAGAAAGCAAATGCCGAAGGGCGACATGTCAATTTCTTTTGTCTTGTGTCTGTTATTGCCTGGGACTCGTCATCTAGAATACTAAATATTGAGTACATATATGTCCATCGTATACTGCGTATTGTAGGTTTAATCCCCCTTGGACGTATCTATATATTGATTAACCAACAAATTACCATTTTCTCGAAAAGAGACCACTGATTACCCGGTTGAAACCACTGCAATTGGCCCCCAAGACATATATTGCACGGAAGTACCATGGGCCAACAATGCGATCCTTCAGCCTTGGCCCCTAACATGCCCAACGCCCCGGTCTTGGGAAGCTCTAGTGGGAAATACTAATCCATAAAGGTATTTTGCTCCGCCATTCTTGTATAGTGATCCCAAGACAATGGATATAGCATAGGAGGAAGGGGGATAAGAAGAGGTCTCAAAAACAATAAAAAAAGCCCCTGATGAAGCAGCAGAAATATCAGAATCGCATTAGATAATCCGCAGATCCGAGATCTTCCTACGGAGTAGTACTCCGGACTTAGTACGGATATGGACTACTTAGACGAAATATGGCATTCGCCTTGGCGTGAAGGATTAGGAGGACCCCACGATCGACGGATCTGAGGGATTGGTCGGGCTGTGGATAAATTCTTTTCTTAGCATAGTCTGGCCGGCTAAGTTCCTTAGTGGGCTGTACGGAGTCCGGCAACGTGAGTAATAGTTTTTTGTTCTAGTGTATGGAAATAACACAATGGCTATGATTGTTGGGCTGCATATACATGTACAAGACATATGCTTGCATACTCGCAGGGGATCAAATCCAACGGTTATTCCGGCTATCTTTCCTAGACTGAGAGGCTAGACGAGGCCGGAACGCAGCCGAATTTCGAATAAGGTGAGGAAGGACCATGTGCGTTGCTCGGGATTTGGAATGCGTAAGTCAACAAAAGCAAGGGTTACTGTCTGGGGATGCTGTTTAACAATAATGCAGAGAGGGTAATCTTAGATATGCAGAGATTAAGTGTGATTCGTCATACCGGATACCGGATAAAATAATTGGAAAGAAATGATTTTTTAATAGATTCAAATTCAACCTCGACTCTTTATAGTAATATCTAGATCTAAATCTGAACGCTGTTGACTCTCACGGTATGAATTGCTCCACACGACATATTGTAGATATTATATAACCAAGAAACAAGCCCTGGAGCTTGGAAAGTGTAGGAAGAGAACACGAAATGAAGAAAAGACAGGAACCCTGATGGAAGACTTGGGGTAACGAGAGAACATCCAAAAGACAACAGACCTCCCACGCTGAACAGAGGTATCTTAAATAAAGACGAAGACCGACCCACGCAAAAACAAAGACAGTAGACAAATTGACCTCCCAAGAACGAACCCACCAAAAAAAAAAAAAGAAATCACAGCCGTCGCAACGCAACATCCCCCTCCTTCTTCATCCAAGGATACCAAACATTAGTATATTCCCTAACGCCAAACTTCGGCGCAGGCCCATGATCCCCAGCCAACGCAGCCGAAGCCCCCTCCCTCAGGAACTCGCCATCCCGCATCCGCCTCTGCTCCCGCAGGGTCGGACACTTCTTCTCCTTAATGAAGCGGTAAAACTTGCACTGGATACCCTGGAAGCCTCTTCTCTGGCGGTCCGGGAACTGACGATTGAAAGCCTCACGGACCTCCTTCCACTCCTGACACAGATCGACGCGGTGGTACCAGATGAAGTACATTTCCTCTTCCTCGTACTTTGGACGAGGGGGACGACGGCGGTCGCCGTTAGTGGAAGATGAGCTTGAGACGCTTGAGTAGCGCTCGCGGGGATGGTAGGGGTCTGGCGAAGAGGGCGAGGACAGCGAGCTATGGTTTGTGCTTGCGCTTGCGCGGTTTGCGTTTGTGCTGGCTGGTGAAGGCCGGTAGGTGAAGAACATTTGGTGGGATTGTGGCGGGTTTACGCTGTGGCGGCTTGCGTTTGTGCTGCTGCTCTGGGTTGTTGCTGTGGTTGTGTTGGATAGTGCGCCTGGGCTGGTGTCGTGGTAGTTGTTTCGGTTGTACCAGTAGTTTGGGCTTGGGGGGAAGCTTGGTGAGGGTTGGTGGTGGTAGCTGTGGCGGTGTGATGGTGGGATTGAGGCGTGTTGGGTGCGTGGAGAGATGTCACCGTCGCCTGGGTTCAGTAAGGCGTCGATTTTCATTTTGCTTTGGCGTGCTGATGGCAGTGTAGCGTATGATTCTGTGTGTGTTGCCATTTTGGATATCATGGATTCTTTTTTTCTTTTTTCGCCAGTACGTATGAGTTTTGGCGTTGAGAATGAATTTATAGAGACCAAGCTTTGGATATCCCCAGAATGCTCAGACCAGGTCTGATAGTAGAAGTGGGGATATAGAGGTCTATATCAAAGAGCCAATGGACGGATGTGAAGTACAGAAAGTAAGGAAGTATAATATATCCTTGGGGTAACGGGCAAGGTTTATAGATCTCGGAACTCTAGAAAAAGAAAAGAAGACCACCCTGGAGCACAACTCGGTCTTAAATGAGGAAGGGAGAAAAAAAAGGGTTCAGAAAATCGAAAAATAGTTCTCAAACTAACAGCGCTGTTGGGTGCACTGTACCGACTGCCTGGGTCTGGTTGTGTGCCTTTGGCCCCCTGTATAGCTGTGTACCGCGGATACACAAAGCTCCTCTAACAGGGGTCCTACTTTTTTCTAGAGTTCCACCCCCAGAGAGACACATTTCGAAATAATATAAAATATTAAAATAATTAAAAAAAGAAAAAGGAATTAAAATGGACCGGTGAACCGGACAGTTACTCCGTGTTCGGTGGTGTACATAGTGGAGAGACCGTACCGTTTTTATTATTATTATTCGATTTATTTGATATTGAAGATGTGGCAATGGCTTCGGTCGACTCCGATTCCTTAACTTTTTTTTTCGAATCCTTCTTTTTCTTTGTATGCGAAAGTTTCGCGGCAATTTGGGTCTACCGTACTATGTAGCTCCATGACACAATCTGGACGATCCTCTGCAAATTTTTTAATTTCTTTTTGGTATTGTATATATGCAGTTACGAAAAAACGGGGGCCACGCGGTAACCAAAATTACAATTTACCTTTAGCCTTTTGCAATCTTAGCGCCAAGGCGAAGTTTAGAATGACAAATCCCGGGTTTGCTGTAGAATATCAAAAAGCAGTTGAGAAGATTCGAGAGAATGTAACAAATGAAGGAACGATTTCCCAAAAGATCATGAATTCATTTCTCTCTGTACAGGACATCTGCAACCCTGTTACTGCATGAGCGGTTAAGTGATAGGCTCGATTGAGACGGATTCAGCTTTGGAGACACATATGAGTTAATATACTAAAAAATAAAATAATAAAGAG